GGGGGGGGGGTCTAATTTCAAAAGAGAAAATAAAAGTCTTACATGAATGAAACCAAATGATCTGAATTTCAGAAGTGTTGGCTCCATATATGCCTCATAGCTCTCCATGCAAATGAAAATATGAACAAAAGAGGAGCATGCCATCAGACATCTGAAGGGCAGAGAACTCTCACTCTGACCTGCCCTGGCCTTCCTCAACCCCTAATGCAAAGAGAAACCCAGGATCCTTGGCCCAGAACGGCTGCTCTTCGATGTCCTGGGGCGCATGAGCCCAGGCATCCCAGCCCAGCCTGCCAGGTGAGCTCCTAGAGATCAAGGTCTGGGTCTGGGGAGACACAGAGTCAGTGGGCTGGAGGCTCCTCCCCTACAGGACAGTGAGAAGCAGCTGGAGGGACTCTCACATGCTCCCCTGGAATGGAGAGCCTTGGACTCAAGAAAGCCCAGGACATGGCATCTTACCTTAGTTATATGTTCTTCCTCCAGGTCATCCTCATCCTCATCTAATCTGAGAGAGAAAAAAACAAAACACACAAAAACATTCTTCTCAGGGAACTCAGGTCAACCAGAAACACACTTAGTGAGCATCTACTAAGTGCCAGCGACCAGCCCTAGACCTAAACAAATAAGAACGGAAGTGAGGATTGAGCCCTGAGCCAGGAGACAGACCCATCCCAGCAGCGAGGCTCCACCAAAGCAACAGGTGTCCACTTGCTCTCTTGGCCAGAGATGCTCCAGGCAAACACCAATGCCATCCTCCCACTGCCACTCGGGAGGGGACAGAAAGAGGACATGGTATTCCCAAAGCCTAGGGTCAATGTCTGACAGTCACTGAAGGCTACTCTCCCCTCACTGTGCAACCTCCAGCAAGTGGGACTTCTCTCAGTTCCAAGAGAACTTTATCACCTCAGAGCCTGGGACATGCTGCTCTTTGCCCAGAAAGCGCTCTCCCCTCACTTCCTCCCTTTACCTAGCCAACTCCTACTCAACCTCCAGATCTCCACATAAACATCACCTCCTCATAAACATCACCTCCTCCGGGCAGCCTTCCTCAATCTCCACTGGCAGGCTTGGCTGATCTGACACACTGCCTTGGTCCCTGCACCTATTCTTTGTGATACTCATCTCATTCAAAACCATTTCTTCTGTCTCCTCAACCACACTATCATGTCCATAGGCAGGACCTGGTGTGTCTTATTTCTGCAGAGCACCCCACCCCTCCAGCCTGCACACAGCAGGAACTCCATGCACATTTCCTGAGTGAAGCCCCAACTGAGTGAATAAAAGACGCTGTCACTCATGACCAGATAAATCTCTTCTCCCCTCAGCACCTCAGTCTGCCCTTTCTAGGAATGAATGAGGAGCCCATTAGCACTAGGGACTGGTAAGTCAACCCTGCATTATTTGGCTGGATATTTAGTCAACATTATTAGTCTAAGCATCTTAGAAAACAAAAAACCCTTTTACAGATACACTCTACCTTGTGTATAAGGTAGGGCCATGATATGGATTTCTTTTTTGTTCACCTAGCAATTCAGTTTTTTAAAATAACAGAAATCCTCATTGCCTTGGAATATCAGAAAAGGAATTATTTATAGGGTCAGCTTCCTGTCAATAAAGAACTGTTGAGTCAGCTTTGACTGAAAGGCCTGGATTTAAATCACACACCACAGCCCTGGCCTATGTGGCTCAGTTAGTTGGGTGCTGTCCAGTGCACTGAAAGGCTGCCAGTTCGATTCCTAGTCAGGGCACATGCCCAGGTTTCAGGCTCAATCCCTAATAGGGGGTATGCAGGAGGCAGCCAATGGATGTTTCTCTCTCTCCCGGGAAAATTAAATAAATAAATCACATGCCACATAGTGCACAAACTCAAGAGGATCTCAGTGTGAGGCTGGATGTGTGAACAAATGAAGAACAAACACCTTGCATTCAGAATTGGTTGTGTCCTCAGAGAGGCTCATGCTCTCTCAAAATGGCAGGGCATCAGAAGCTATACAAGCTAATCTGCAGGGTTAATGGCTCTTGCCTGGTCCCTAAGGAGCACTTTGTTTTTTTAATTCCACAAACTCTACTTAAGTTCTTTATCTTGTTCACAAGGGGCTCTAGAGGAGAGGTAGAAGAGCAGACAAGCAACCTAGGAGGCAGAAAGAAAGGGTTTATGGAGCACTTGTTGCTCCTATCTCTCCCTGAGTGGGATGCATAAAGCAGTCTGGACATCTCAGCCCTGGGCAGGATCAGAAGTTTTTAGTGTGAATCCATGTTCTTAAATCTGGGAGTAAGGGCAGGCCACTGAGCACCAACAAAGAAAAACCCTGGACCAGATGGTTTTACTGGCAAATTCTACCAAATATTTAAAGGAAAAATTCCAATCCTCCTCAAGCTCTTCCAAAAAATCTAAGAGGAGGGAACATTCCCAAACTCATTTTATGAGACCAGCATCAGTCTGATACCAAAGCCAAATAAGGATACTACAAGAAAGAAAACTACAGGCCAATTTCCCTGATGAACACAGATGCAAAAATTCTCAACAAAATACAAGCAAACTGAGTTCAGCAATGTAAGGATCATACACTGTAATCAAGTGGAATTTAACCCTGGGATGCAAGGATGGTTCAACATAAGCAAATGAATAAATGTGATGTACCACATTAACACAATGAAAGATAAAAATCATGTGATCTCAACAGATGCAGAAAAAACATTTGACACAATTCAACATCCTTTCATGAAATAAACTCTCAACCAATTGGGTATAGAAGAAATGTACCTCAACATAATAAAGGCTATATATGACAAGTCCACAGTTATAACATCATACTCAATGGTTAAAGTTTGAAAGCTTTTCCTCTAAGATCATAAAGACAAGGATACTCACTTTCACAACTCCTACTGAACAGAGCAACCAGGTAATAAAAAGAAATAAAAGGCATCCAAATCAGCAAGGAAGAAGTAAAATTGTCTCTGTTTGTAAATGACATGACCTTATATATAGAAAACCCTAAAGATTCTAATAAAAAATCATTAGAACTAATAAACAAATTCAGTAAAGTTTCAGAATACATATCAATACATAATCAACATATAAAAATCAATTGCAGCTGGCTGGAGTGGCTCAGTTGGTTGGAGCATCATCCTGTAAACCAAAAGGTTGAGGGTTCAATTCCCGGTTCAATTGCGGACACACACCTGGGTTGCAAGTTCAATCCCCAGTTGGGACATGTATGGAACCGATCGATGTCTCTCTCTCTCACATCGATGTTTCTCTCTTTCTCCCTCTTCCTCTCTCTCTCCATCCCTCCCTCCCTTTAAGCAGGTCCTTGGGTGAGAATTAAAAAAAAAATTCAGTTGCTTTTCTATACACTAATAAACTATCTGAAAAAGAAATGAAGAAACTAATCCCATTTACAATAGCATAAAAAACAATAAAATACTTAGGAATAAATTTAACTAAGGAGGTGAAAGATTTATATACTGAAAACTATAAGACATTGATGAAAAAACTGAAGAAGACACAAGTAAATGAAAAGATATCCTATGTTTATAGATTGGAAAAATTAATATTGCTAAAATGTCCAGACTACCCAAAGCCATCTATAGATTCAATACAATACCTATCAAGTTTCCAACGGCATTTTTACAGAAAGAGAGAAAACCATCCTAAAAATCGAATAGAACCACAAAAGACCCCAAATATCCAAAGCAATCCTGAGAAAGAACAAAGCTGGAGGCATCACATTACCTGATTTCAAACTGTATTACAAAGCTAGAATAATCACAACAGTATGGCACTGACATTAAAATGGACACACAGACCAATGCAACAGAAATGAGAACCCAGAAATAAACCTCTAATATATGGTCAACTAATATTTGACACAGGAGCCAAGAACACTCAATGGTGGTGGGAAAACTGGATATTCACATGCAAAACAATGAAACTGCACCCTTATCCTACACTACGATTAACTAGAAATGGATTAAAGACTTAAATGGAAGGCCTGAATGTGTTAAACTCTAGAATAAAGCATAGGGGAGAAGCTCCGATGTTAAATTCATTTTGGCAGTGATTTTTTTGGACATGACACCAAAAATATAAGCAACAAAAGCAAATACAAACAAGTGGGACTACACTGAACTAAAAAACCTTTCGCACACTTCTCTTTTGTTTATATAAAGTGCTAATTTTAAAATATTTCTGTAACTAATTGGATTGCAAAAATATATAAATTAATTAAAATAAAATAAAAAGCTTCTTCACAGCAAAAGAAACAACCAACAAAATAAAAAGGCAACCTCCAGAATTGGAGAAAACATTTGTAAACCAAAAATCTGAGAAAGTCTTAATATAAAAAAAAATAGAAGAAACTCCTGTAAATCAATAGCAAAAAAAAAAATAATCCAATTAAAAAATAGACGAAGGACTTAAATGGACATTTTCCCAAAAAAGATATATACAAATGGCGAGCAGGTACATGAAAAGATGCTCAACGTCACTAGTCATTAAGGAAACACAAATCAGTTACAATGAGATACCACCTCACACCTGTTTAGAATGACTATTATCAAAAGACAAGAAATAACATGTATTGCTGAGGATGTCAAAAAAGGAAACTCTTGTGCACTATGGTGGGAATATAAACTGGTGCAGCCACTATGGAAAACAGTATGGCAATTCCTCAAAAAATTAAATGAAACTATGATATCATCTAACAATTTCGCTTCTGGATATATAACTGAAGGCAAAGAAATCACTGTCTCAAAGAGATATCTGCACCACCATGTTCACTGCAGCATTATTTAAAATAGCCAAGACATGGAAACAACTTAGTGTTTGTTGACAAATGAATGAATAAAGAAAATATGATAAACATACACAGTGGAATATTTATCAGCCATAGGAGAAAAAAAGGAAATCCTGACATTTGCAACAATATAGAAGAAACTTGAGAGTACTATGCTAAGAGAAATAAGTCAGCTAGAGAAAGACAAATGCTGTATGATCTCATGTGGTATCTCAAAAACCAAACTCACAGAAACAGAGTAGACTGGTGGTAAATGGGGGGCAGAGGGGAGGTGAAGGTGGTCAAAGGGTATAAACTTCCAGTTACAAGATGAAAAGTTCTGGAGGTCTCATGTACAGTATGGTAACTGTAATTAACAGTGTACTGTATACTTAAAAGTTGCTGAGAGATCTTAAAAGTTCTCACCACACACACAAAAAATGGAACCTATGTTAGGTGACAGATGTGTTAACTAGCTTTATGGTGATCATTTTGCAATATATACATATTTCAAATCATCAAATTGTGCACCTTAAGCTTACACAATGCTATGTGAATTATATCTCAGTAAAGATGGGGGCAGAAGTGAGAGCGGTTGGGATGCAGGGTGTCTGGAAGTGGCTCTTTCTCATCCTTCCGGCCTCGGCTCAAACATCACCTCCTCAGAGGGTCTTTTCTGACTTTTCCACCTGGAGATGCAACCCCCACACCCCACCCACTTTACTGTTTTACTGCCCTCATAGATAGATGTACTTTCAAATAAGGGCTGTTTTCACACGTATTGTCTGTCTCCCTCCGCTAAACGCAAGCTCTCTGAGGGCAGGGGCCATGTTTGTCTTGTTCAGTGCAACATCCACAGCATCTGGAAATGTGCCACACCCAGAGCAGACACCCAAAGGGCATGTGTGAAGCTAAAGCATGAATGGAAAAGGAGGGTCTCACGAGGGGCAGTGTGGTCCGGAAATGGGCCTCGTTGTTATCTGTGTGTTCTAGTTCACCCCTATGTTATAGCCTGTAAGCCAGAAACCTATAAACCTGGACCAACGGAAGCCTTATAGTGACAAGAACAACAGCTAAGGATACCTTGATGGTTTAGGTCACAAACCTTACTCAATGTGGTTTGATACTTAAGAGCCTGAAATCTAGAACTGGGAGGGGGCGTTTAAGGCTCAGCTCCCCGCTGCCTGGCCTTGTGGCCTTGGCCAAGGCATCATACCTTGCTGGGCCACAGCTTCCTCGGCTGTAAAGGGAAGACACAAATACTGTTGTGAGAACGGAGTTCACACACGTGCAGCTAGTGCCTGAAAGAGAGGGAGGGCTGGCTATCGCTGTCATTAGCACTATGCATCCTGAGGAGGAGCCTGGCTGGCTGAGAGAAAAGAGGCAGTGGCTGGCACTCCATCCCTTCAGATGGCCTGAGAGAGACAAGGAAGCCTGCCGCTTTCTGGGCACAAGGAAGGAGCTGCCTCCCACGAAGACTGAGCAGGGTGGTGGGTGGGGCAGAAGCGCTCTTACCCATTACCGGTTCCTTTCTCCTCATCACTCTCGTACTCAGAGAGGACCAGTTCCTCCTCTCCAGGTGCCAGCTGCTCTAGCGGCCTGGCCTCTGCTCCTGCTGCCAGTATGTCCCTGCTGAGACGGAGGAGACGCTCGGTCTCTTCTTCTTCCTGTCTCTGTACGGGAGCATCGCAGGTGGGGAAAGAGAACAATCTCAGTAGTGGTGCCCCCACCTCCTCAACAGTCAGCCTCAGTGTGGCCGTCCCCAAGGACAACACACACACATGCCATTAACTCAGGCCTTGCTGTTTTACTGGTATCAATACCCCAGATATTATCAACACCCCAGGTATCATTACCTCGGCACAAGTTCCCAACCACTGGGTGTTAAGAACTTAGCCTGTGGGGGTCAGGGAGAGGTGTCTGAGGTCCTGGCCACTCACCCAAAGGAGCTACACCTTGAGGCCCTGAGCAGCCACTCCCGGAGATGACACTCACCTCACGCTTGGCTGCATACTTTAGCTGTGTATTGTGACGGAGCTGCTGCAGGCGTTCTTCTCGCTTCTTCCTCCTGATCTGCTCCTTCTAAAGGGCAAAGAAAGCATAAAGGAGACTCCTGCAGGAAGCCCCAAACCAGGCCTTTCTTACAGAGTTTGGGGCTGCTCAGCCTAGTGCCTTTTCACACAGGGCAGTTCTCCCCTGGCCAGCACTCATCCCCAGACCCAGAACCTTGCCAGGTGCCAGCCTCACTGCTCACTGCAGGAAGTCTGTATACCCCCTGCCAAAGCCCCACTCTCAATCAAATGCATTCCTGAATTGAGTTTGTAGCCATGAAACCATGTTGCCAATGGCAACAGCAAGGTAGGTTCCTTTCCCAGGTGGGTTATGGATGAGAACTGCCAAACCCTGTCTAGAGAAGGTCTGTTGGACAGCAGCTTAAAAAAGACAGTAAGGGTGCAGCACCAATGACTCGAGAACACTGCCAGGAAGCTAAGAGGCACTGCAAAGGCAAAGAACACAGATATCTAAATCTCAGAATCAAGCCAAAATAATCACCGAAGTGCTGTTTCCTAGACTACTCCTACTTCTTGCTACCTGGGATCTCACCTTTAGTCGGTCCACCAGGTCCCTTTCTTCTTTCTTCTGGACAAACTGAGTAACCCAGTCAGGTTCTCCAGCAGGCCGCAGGGCGTCGGGGGTCTCTTGACAGGAGGATGAAATAAGTGGGGGCTGGTCCTTCCCATTACTTGAGGGGACAGCTCCAGTTTCAAGGAGACGCGCTTCCTCTTGATGTTTCTTCTGTTCAAAGTCACGGAGCCAGGAAAGGGCCCCACAGATAAGACTTAAAGATTTTCCCTATAGGAAAAAAAATGTTTTCAGAAATAGAGAACAAAAAACCCAAGCTTCCCAAAAGGCCTTCTCCATTTGACTGAAGCTTCAAGGAAGGTCTGACTTTAAATATTAGAGGGTGCCAGAAGACCAGCCTGGGGAAGGAAGGGAAGGAAATTAGCATGACAATAGCTAGGAAATGTAGGACAGAAGAAGAAATAGAAATGAAGCTCTTTGCTTAATTATACAGCTCACTGTTGAGAATTCAAACTGGCTTATCAGGTTACACATAACTACTGTAAGTTAGCATAATTAGAAGTGAGAAATTAGAAAAATAGCCCCCAAAAGAATTAAGGCAAAAAATGAGGCACATGAAATGTCACCCATGTGCTAAGGAGGAGCCACACCTGCCTCTGCCTTTAAAGCAACCAGTGTGCAGGTAGAACATGACCAGTCCCATGAGTCCCAGTGTTCAAAATTTTGTTGAAGCAAACCACTTGTTCTCAAGAACACAATTCTTGATCTAAAGACCAGAATTCTCCCTGTGGGTCCATGTTATAGGATGAATCATGTCCCCCCAAAATCCATATGTCAAAGTCCCACCCCCCAGTGTCTCAGAATGTGGCCTTATTTGGAAACAGGGTCATTGCAAATGTATTGTCAAGATGATATGGGCCCTAATCCAAGGACTGGTGCCCTTATAAAATGGGGAAATTTGGACACAGAGACCACATAGAAGGAAAGCAATTCACAGGGAAAAGACAGCCATCTATAGAGCGGGACCGGCATAGATCCTTCTCTCACAGCCCTCAGAATCAACCCTGCCAACATCTTGGTTTCAGACTTCTGGCCTCCCGAACTGTGAGGGGATAGATTTCTGTTGTTTAAGCCCCCCAAGTTTGTGGGATTTGTTACAGCAGCATGAACAGACTAACACAGTCCTTCTAGAGAGGCTGCTGCAGAGTTTCACAGAGCTGCTGCTTCTGCTGTCCAAAGGGCAGTTCATTTCAGGTGAGTCTCAGGAGGGGCCAACAATTTCGGGTCCAAGCCCTCAGCTCTCCAGGCCTGCTTAACCCAGGGGTTATCTCAAAGTATCCAGGGAGAGGTTCTGAGCCTAATTTGGGCTTCAATAAACTGTAGGTGAAATGCATGTGTGTCTAGAGTTGGGGAAAACAGCAGAGCATAGTAGCTAAAGCTTCAGACTCCACAGCCAGGTTGCCTGGGCCAAATACTGGCTCCTCCACTTAGCTCTGTGACCTTAGGCTAAACTCTCTAGGCTTGTTTCTACAAATGCAAAATGGGAATGACAGTAGGACATTCCTCGGAGTTGCTGCAAGCAGTAAGTTAATACACATAAAGGTTAATACCTACACCAAGATTAGATGGACTACCTAGTACATAAGTAAGCAACTGGACGCTGGTTTTGTTTTTGTTATTATTACATAACAATAAAATTATTACTAACTTAGGATGAGGATCTATTAGCTTTCATCAAATTCTCAGATGGCCCTGAAACAGATTGATAGTTCTGAAGAATAGATGGCTCACATATCTTTAGAAAAGCCCTATACGTTCCATTTCTGTTTTTTATAGATACTGAGTAGCAAAGACTTGCAGACAGCAGTCTCCAGGAAAACCGGGGCAGCCACTCTGTGTGCCTGGGAATGGGGAGCTGTCAGCTTCAGCTGTCATCAAGCGAGGAGCAGGAAAGACATCCCCGTAACAATGGCCCAAGGTGCCCCGTAACAAGGTGCCTGGTTAGAGAGCTAGCACCCTCCTCCTGAAAGGGAGCTGAGGAAGTTTCTGAGGACATGGTCAGTTATCTTCCAGAAATAATGGTGGGTATACTCTAACAGCAAGAAAAAAAAATCATTAAAGCCCTGCAGGTCTATATTCTATAAAAAGGCCACAGAAATTTTAGACCGGAAAATGTTAAAAGGATGTATAACCAAATGCTCACCTCAGTTATGAAATAAACTTAATAAAGTACCCACAGTATACCCAGTTTTGTGCAATGTTATTTCCTGGGGATTTTGTTAAGATAAGTTTAAAAAGTTTATGCAAAGACAAGCAAATTCATTCCTTATAAACACCTACACTGTAGCAAGCACTGGGCTTGATGCTGGGAACACAGAGCTCCCTAGAAGGCGCCCACAGGCACAAACTTAAACATATGATTTGAAGGGTTCACTGCATCCCCGTGGGACATGGACTCCAGGTTTCTGAACTCCCAGAACTGCAATGCTATATAAGCACAAAAGAGAGAGGTCAACTCAATGTGATGGACTCATAAAAGGCCTAAAAAGGTGACTCTTAAAGGAAAAACAGGCATCATCAGGCAGCCAAAGGGGGAAATGGGGATCCGAGGCGGAGGACTAGCAGGCGAGGCACAGCCCATAACAGCATGGCACCCTGCAGACAATGCGGCACAAGGACAGGAGGGGAACTCTATTGAGGTGTGATATGGAAGACATCAAATGTGAAGGCATCTGAAGTACACAGATGAGGCCACAGAACTGAAAGCATGAGCATGAAGGGCTGAGCAGAGGAAAAAGATGCCTGGAATGGGCAAGGGGCTGAGATGGAAAGACCTGAGAGGGAGGAGGTGGGCCTTGAGGTTAAAGAAGGTGGAATGAGCACATGCTCTTCTATGTCCTTTTCTGAAACACACTAAAATTACTCCAAAGGAATAAAAGAGGCTTACACCCACAAAAACAAAGAAAGTGGAAGAACGGACAGTAATAAGTTTTAGGAGAGAAAGCAGAGAAATGGAACTGACTTAGCCGAGTAAAGGGCACTGAGCCGAGGTGCCCACAGAGATCTCCCCAGATGACCCCTCAGAAATGCCCAGAAGCCAGCAGGACCAAGGCATGGCACTGAAAACAAAGGGATTAATTGAAATTCTTTAAGGGATAATTAGATCCCCAAGTTGCAGTCCCCACTCCTCACAGAAGACAGGAAGTTTATTCTGTGGTGAAGCTGAGCCAGGAGGGCCCTGGAGACAGCAGCTTGAGCAAAGCATGGGAACAGGGCTGGGTTGAAAGCAGAGCATTAAGTGAAGTCTGTGCACCTAAAGCCACTCTCCAGGACACCATCAAGAATACTGGCTGTCAGGCTTGGACCCACTCACTACGCAAGAGCTCAGAGGAGAGACTGCTTTGGAAAAACTGGATGGCCCTAGGGAAAATTCTACAAATACTGACAACTGGAGGCCCCAACAGAGAGGCTCGGCCCAAGGGTCCACAGCCAGCCTGCACCACAGACCTTTCACTCAGCCCTGCAGTGACTTTTTCTTGAACACCAACAGAAGACAGTCAAGGATCACCAGGCATTTGAGGAAAGCCTCAAAACAAAACAGAGAACCCAAAATTGGGGGGGGATGAGACAAGACAATGTAAGGGGGGAAAAATTTCAAAATACTACTCTAACTGATATCCTCAGAAAGATATTACTTCCATGAAACAAGAACAGGATGCTATTTTTAAAAAATTATAGAATAAGAACAAGCTCTTGACTATTTACAAGATGACAGCCAAAATAAACTAAATAGAAAAACTGGGCAATAAAGTTAAAGAAATCTCAAGGAAGTAGAATTTAAGGCAAAAACAAAACCAAACAAACCATGGTACCCAAAGAGATGGGCAGTTAGGAGAAAATATTAACCAGGAGGCCCAAAACCCAGTGAATGGGAGTACCAACAATATTATTATCAAATACAAGAAAATGTCTCAGAAATGAGCGGTAGAAGTCCCAGATGCAAAGTGCTCAAGTAGCCAGCACAAGGGACTGAACATACACACAGCAGGCCTGTCAGCATGCGATTTCTGAACACAAAGCATAAAGAGAAGATCCTGAAAACTTTTGAGGGTGAGGTGGGATCAGGTCACAGAGGACTGAGGTGCGGATTGCCCCTGGACTTCTCCACAGTAACAATGGAAACTAGCGGACAGAAGGAGCAAATGTGAGGGAAAATTACTTTGAAGCTAGACTTACATACCCAATCAAACTATTAATACCAACCAAACAGAATTAATACATTTTCAGACCAGCAAAGTCTTAAACACTTACCTCCTATACAGCCCTTCTCAGGAAGATTCTCTACCAAAACAAGGAAGTAAACCAAGAAGATATGGATCCAAGAAACAGAGAATCCAACACAGTAAAAATAAGGAAAAAATACACACAACAACATGGATGAATCTCAAAAATATTATATTGAGTAAAAGGAACCAGACACAAACGAGTACATACTATATTATTACATTTTTATAGAACAGTGGAAAGATAAAACTAATCTTCAGAAACAGAAAGTGGATCAATGACTGCCTGGGGCTGGGGTGAGGTGGGAACTGAGGAACAGCAGCAGGGAACAACTTCCAAGAGGTACAGTGAACTTTCTGGGGTGATGGAAATGTTCTGCTTCTTGATCATGGTGATGGTGGTGAAGATATAGGTTTTCACATCTGTCAAAACTCACTGAAATTGTAGACTTAAAAGGGGTACATATTATATGTCAATTATCTTCAAAAAAGTTATTTTTTTAAAAAGGAACAAAGGGAAATGCTCGGGGAATAGCTGTGAAGTAGGTCTAAGGAACTAGTAATTCAGATTAGAACAAATGGATGGACAACTTCAAGGAAGTCTCCAGGGTAAAATGGAATTGATTATTGCTATGGACTGAACTTGTCCCTGCCCCCAAATTCAGATGTTGAAGCCCTAACCCCCTTGTGACCATATTGGAAAAACAGTCTTTAAGGAGGTGATTAAGGTTAAATAAGGTCATAAAGGTAGAGCCCTGATCTGGTAGAACTGGTGGTATCCTTATAAAAAGAGAAGAGACACCAAAGACCTCTTTTTCTTTCTGCCATGTGAGGACACAGCAAGGTGATAGTCGGAAAGCCAGGAAGAGAGTCCTCACCAAAAACCAAAGCCTGCTGCAACCTTAATCTTGGATGCTTTAGTCTCCAGAACTGTGAGAAAATAAATTTCTATCATTTAAGCCACTCAGTCTACGGCATTTTGTTGTGGCAGCTCTAGCAGACGAAGATAATAATTTTACCTACGGAATACAAGTATCCCTGCTTTCCGAAAGTTCGCATTAGGCAAACTTAGGTCTTTTGTAAGAGCAAAGTGGCACAACACAAACTTGCATAAAGCGAACTTTTGGAAAGTGGACCATACTCTCCTTCACTTTATGCTGTTTGGCTCATGAAAGGTTTCACAGGGATGCTCTACATTCTTCCTCAGTATTTGTGGGCAATTAGTTCCAAGACCCCCAAGGATACAAAAATCTGAAGATGCTCATGTCCTTTACATAAAATGACTTAGTATTTGATGTAACCTATGCACATCCTCCCACATACTTTAAATCATGTCTAGATTACTTATAATACTTAATAGAATGTAAATGTTATATAAATAATTGTTATACTATATTGTTTAGGGAATAATGACAAGAAAAAAAGAGTCTGTACATGTTCAGCAGCTGTCATAGGCCTGACTACACAGTACATGTCTGCAACAAGGTAGCTTTCCCCCCAATATTTTTGATCTGGGGTTGGCTGAATCCATGGGTGCAGAATCCACCAAGAGGGGCCAACGGCACTTCTGAATAGTGTGGAAACCTGCATCATACTGAGATGATGTGTAAGGAATTCGCATAAGCATATTAAGAACTAAACAAACTTTTAAAAGGCAATTATTAACTCTAGAAAAACAAAATTATTCAAGGGAAAAACAATCACAGTATATTGACTTAGCAGAGACTAAAAACAGCTAACTACATCAGGAGAGGCAGGGAAAGGGGGCAGTAAGAAAGCTCCATCTTATCCATCACCAGAGGAAGGTACCAAAGACTAAAGTCAACAGATCAAGAAATAGCAGCACATAGGTTAAAATTGTGAAATGTGCTATGCAAGTATATTTCTTAAGAAACAGACAGAAGAATTAAAAGCACCTGCCCAGGGAACCAAATTTGATAAGTTTGACTTTTTAAATAACATGCGTTATTCTTTGATTACAATTTTTATCTTGCTTTAAACAAAGGAGGGAGATATGCTCAACAATGTCAAACATTGCAGAGTGGTCAAAATAAGGACTTGAGACATCCAGATCCATTAAACAGGATGTCACTACTGATCCTAAAAAACACTTCAGTGGGTTGAGAGGGGAAGAAGTCATATTGTGCTGGGTTTAAATGGAAGGTTAAAATGCTAGCAGAATATTACTGAAAAAAACAAACCCCTCTGCACATTATATTCATGGCCCACATTTTGTTAACTGCAGGACTTATTCTCTCCCACTCACTATACGTATGTGAAAGAATAAAATGAAACAATACAGTACCCCAGTCAGCACTCTTCCTGTCCCAGGAGATCATGTCATCTCAAGCAAGTGAGAAAAAAGAATGAGTCACTTTTTTTCCTCCCTGCCTCTCTCCCTCCCTCTGTTCCTTCCTTCCTTCCGCACATACCTATTAGGAGACTCCTGTGAGCCAAATGGGCCAAGTTCTGCTAGATGACAGGGACACAGAGGTGAGGACCACAAGATCCTTATCCTCCAGGAAGTCACAGCCTAGGTGAGGGACCTTCCCTTCAACACATACATTTCACTATCACCGAGTACTTGCTATAAAAGATTGTAAAGTGCAAGAAAGAAGCAGGAACTGACCACCACAGCCCTAGCAATCCCCAATAGCCAACGTCTAATAATCCCTCATTCCAGGCCAGGAAGAAAAAACTTATGGGCCCTTGATTGGATCCCTCCAGCACTCAGTAACCTAGTTCCTGGAGACTAAACCAATATGTTTAATCTGTGAATAAGCCAAAGTAATTTCTACATTGCTCAACATCAAAGCAGTTGTGTGCCCAGAGAAATCTTGAAAGTTTCAGTGCTATGCTTCCACTGCCATTCAAATTCTCATTTGCCTGTGGCCTAATTTTCCTTGGACCCTGGGGTTGTGTTTAACAATTTAATAGAGGGAAGTGATCATTAATCAGAAAGATAAACTGAGAGAACTACTTTGCCCAGCTCTAAACCATGAAATCTCTGCAAGGGCAAATAAGCCTCTGACTGGTTATAATCAGGGTCTCCCAAAAGCACTCTTGGGCTCGACTATTCATACTTACAGTGCCAGTTGGACTCTCAAATATCCCAATCTTGCCAGCTTCCAACACCCGGTACAGCTCTGCCATGAAGTCTTTCTGGATGGAATAGGGTGTGAAGGGAAAAGGGAAATGGATGCCACCAATCTCCTGGTTGTTATCAGCCATGATCCTAGGAAGGAAAAAAAAAAATCTGGTAGTTCTCTAATGAGCCAGGAAGAAGTGGCTTGAAATCTAGAACAGTTCCTAAGAGCAGCCTCAATACTAGTTAATGGAATTTCTCCTTAGGCTGTACATTATTTTGCAAGCAGAGACCATGTTCCCTCCATCTTGTGCATATCCCCATGAAGCCATACCAAATCATGCAATCCATCGAGCACACTTATCACAAAGGGCTCCAGCAGAATGCAGCCTAGGAAAACCCCTATACAGAAACTCCCTGCCATTTCACCTGAGGCGCTTTTGCTGCTTGGATGCCCTTCTGTCTACAAAAGGCTTGAAGGTTTCTTCTCGAAGACCTGTGTCCTGGGATCAAAGATGTTCCCGTAATCACTTCTGCAGCATTCTTCTCTCACTTCTGCACAGGGGAGCATTTGCATGACAAATGTGCTTCACTTTATCCTGTTGGGAGACTGTAAGTAAAATTATGACACACAGGCAGAGAATTAAAGTACAATTAGAGTTTTTTCTTACATGGCACAGGTTAACGTATATATCCCTAATTTACAGGTATCTTTGGTTTGCTTCTTAGTTCATCCTACCCTCCATTTCCAATACAAACCAGAGCTGCCTCCAAAAAATGTTTGGCCTCAAGAATCAGAGCCTTCTGTCTGGCTCCAGACTGGCAGAGCTCTCTTCACAGGGAACACGCCTGGCCTGAAGAGCTCCACAATTCTCTTCCCTTGCTAGGCCAAGGTCTGAGAAAGACTTCTCTGCTCCATGTTAATTTCACCTTTTTCCTCCTTCTGAACTTGATTTCTCTGAGATAGCTTTGTATACCCTTCCTTCCTTGAATCGCCATTGTGAGGGCTGACTCTTCCATCCCAGGTATTTAGCAGGCCCATTTTTTATAAATACAAACATTAATAAACCTAAAACCATTTACATCTTTGTTACCTAACTAGCAACAGTGTCAATTCTTTATGAGGGGAAAGGCAGTTCCGTAATGTTCTTCCAGTTAGTTTAGGGACAGTTCAAATGACTACAGTGGTGTAATAACTATAAGAAGAGTGACTTAAAAAAACAAGGACAATTCAATACTGAGAGGGAGGCATGTAATCAAATAACCATTAAAACATGAAGGGGAAGAAGAAAGGCATCTAACAAATTTTGAGCACCTACTATGTCTATGTGTTAAGCACTCTACAGGTGCTTTTACTTTTATTACATCATTTAATCTAAAAAACATGGTAAGGATACAGTTGTTGCAATAGAAATGAAATAACTGTTCAAAGTCTCAGCTAATTAGAGGGAAAACGGAGATCCAAACCCAGGTCCATATTACTGTTTTAGTCAAATTTAACTGGCTGCAGGAGATAACCATCAGACATAAAAAAGAGACTTATTAAAAAGATACCTACTGAGAGATTAAAAATTGAGACCATCTGGGAAAACCAAGAATAGAAGCCATGGACAGGGTGGGAGTTCTTGCAGACTAGAACTATAGAGTAGTTCAGATCTCAAGACAGCTCCCAGAACCTCACCAACAAGTAAATACCCATGGATTTGCACCCTCCTGCTCACTCAATGCCAGATGGAGCCACTGACTGACTTCCTCTGCTTACTCACAGCTTCTGTTCGTTCAAAACTTCAGCCTGCACATGGTCTCTTCAGCCCTCTGTACCTTTTAGCTACAGCTCCCACTGCGAAGTGAAAACTCTTTTCATGTTTCTTAGTTCTAAATCCCAAGAGGAAAATCTGATCAGCATCTCCTGCCCTTTTAAGACAGATCACTGGTCAGCCTACAGACAGGTGAAGCACCCAGCCTGATCTAACCAGCTTCGGCCTTGCACTTCTGTCTTTCCCCATGCCTCCCCCACAGGGAATCATGAACCGTCAACCACAGCTCAGCTGCCCAGAGAAGCCTCTCCCTTTATTTGGCCATCCTATTATGGTCAAATACCCTCCCTCCAAATATATGAGCCTGCACATAGGCACGGCCCTCTACTTTAAGTCACTCTTCTACGTTATTACCCTGTATTTAATTTTTTCACAGCTCTTAGCACTCAACTTATTTTATTTAGTCTTCTCCACTAGAATACAAGCTGCGTTAAAGAAGGAGCCCTGTCTGCTTTGTTCTTCCCTGCTCCTAACACTCAGAAAGCCAGGCGCTTTGGCAACTAGCAGGCATTCAACAAAAATCTGATGCATAAATAAATAGCCAGTTTGACATGGGGGCTGTAGGTGGAGGTTTCTGTTCTTCAGAGGTGTGGGTGGAGGGTGTCCCATGACTTCAATATCTAGTCCAAGGGCCAGTCCTTTAAGTTTCAAACTGTTTTCATATAACCTCACAACAACCCTGTGTGGTCAGTATTTTATAGATGAAGAAACTGACACTCAGAAAGGTTAAGTGACTTGCCCATTCAGCAATTGCCTGAATCCAAGCGTTGGATGCACATCTGCCAGACCTTCAAGCCCCTGAGCTTTGTATTTCCTCCCTCTTCCTCTAACCAGGGTAAGGAGGGTGGAAAGAGACTTGGTTACCAAACTTCAGAATAACAACAGGAAACAATACAGAAAAAAAAGTAATTATTATTTCACTCCCTGTGGGTGGTAATGATGGTCTCATTATTCCAGAAGCGGTACAAGCTAAGTCAGAAGTTAAAGAAGGATTTAGATAAATCCATGAATAGTGGATACACTAAGCGCATTTTTTTTTTTTTAATATTTTAAATATATCTTTATTGATTACAGAGAGATGAAAGGAGAGGGAGAGAGATAGAAACATCAATGATGAGAGAGTCATTGATCAGCTGCCTCCTGCATGCACCCGACTGGTGATGGAGCCCGCAACCCGGGCATGTGCCCCGACCGGAAATGGAACCCGGATCGCCTGGATCCTAGGTCAACACTCAACCGCCAAGCCACACCCGGCCGCGCACTAAGCGCATATTAAGGATGCTTGATGTAGCTTTGTCTGACCTCTTCAGATTGGTTGCGTGGAGGAAAACCATGACCTCCCACACAAGTTCTCCCTAGATTTCACCACCACTGCTAAGGCACAAACCTTATGCTCATTAAATAAGGTAATATGAGGTTATGTGAAAAAACCTCAGGCACATATTAGTTCTGAAAGTGCTCATTTTCTTCATTCTTCAATTATCACTCGGTATTTACTTGGGTATAAACTATTGCTACAGACTGAACTGTGTCCCATCCTCCCTCAAATTCATGTGTTAAAGCCCTAACGCCTAACATGAGACTATTTGAAGGCAGGGCTTTTAGAAGGTAATTAAAATTAAATGCAAAAGGTAATTAAGATTAAATTAAGTCATAACAGTGGGGTCCTAATCCTTATTAAGATTGGTGGCTTTGCCCTGGCCAGTGTGGCTCACTGGTTAGAGCATCGGCCCAGGCACCAAAGGATCGAGGGTTCGATTCCTGGTTAAGGGCACATACCTGGGTTGCTGGTTCATTCCCTGCCCCTAGTCGGGGGCGAGTGCAGGGGAGGTAACCAGTGGATGTGTCTCTCTACATCAATGCTTCTCTCTCTCTCCCCTTTCCACTCTCTCTAAAAATCAATGGAAAAAATATCCTCATGTGAGGATTAACAAAAAAACAACAACAAAAGATTGGTGGCCTTCTAGGAGGAAGAGAGAGAGCTCTTTCTTTACCAACCATGTGAGGACAAGTAAGGGGGCCTTCTGCAAGAGAGGAAGAGGGTCCTTGACAGGGACAGAACAGGTTGGGACCTTGATCTTGGCCTTCCCAGCCTCTAGAACTGTAAGAAAAAAAAATCTCTGCTGTTTAAGCCACTCAATGTATGGCATTTTGTTATGGCAGCCAGAGAAGACAGAAACAACTATGTTCCAGGCACTATCCTGCTTTTAAGCCCCTAAAAGGCTCTAACTTCACACACCTGGGAGACAACACAGGCCCCCCCCCCCCAAATGTTTT